TACAAATCCAGCAAAACAAACAAAAATTGATTTGGACCTGTAAATAGTCCGAAAAATAACTTTGACTAGTTTTTTGTAATTTTTTGGATCAAAGCTCAAGAAATAAGACGGACTCGAAGAACGCAAAGAACAATTGAAAAAAAAAAGGAAAGAAAAGATATAAACTTGATTATTTTGGAGTCTTGTTCTAATACCAACTGATGAGAACCACGTAGCATCGAACACTACGCAATCCACAACGAGATTGAAGATCCCAAGAAAGCTCAAAGAATAATCTCTATTTTAAGTTTGAATCAAGAATTAATGAACCAAGCAATCAAATAAAAATGAAGTTTAAAAGACCTCTTGATTACACAACATGTGATCCGCACCCGATGTTTAACGCCGCAAAAAATTAACTTGATAAATTCACGGTGTTCAATGAAAAACAATGGTTGAAAGCACAATGCCTCTCAATTGTATAATAATTTCAAATTCTCAAAAGGTTCATACATTGAATAATGAAGTCCTATTTATACTAATGGCTAGAAAACCTAGTAAAAATGTAATTANAGAAAATAGAATTCTAATCTAACAAAGAAAATTCGTAGAAAATGAAATTTTTGCCCAAATTTTGTTCTATGCGGATGCTTAGTACAAATCTATGCGGTCGCATAGAATAGTCAAAACGGACCTGCTTGGTTTCAATAAGGGTGTATGCGACCGCATGCACTGGACTACTATGCGGTCGCATAATAGTCAATTTTTGATCCTTCTTCCTCCGTTTGAATCAAGTTGTTCTAATCTGTTTCGGCCATCGACCCCAATATAGAACTTGCTCCTTTCTTTTCCAAGATCGCCATATCGTCAACCGTAGCTTGAATGAGCAATCACATCGTCTCTTTCACCCACTTTGCTCTTGATCGTGTCATCGGTCCTCCTTAGATAATCAATGGGTCTCGTCCTAGGCTCTGTTTCTTCGGGCTCGACTCCTAGATCATATCAGTTTTGCTATTTCTACATTGGAATTTGATACTCCGATGTATGGTCTCCTCACAATAAGGGGGTTCACGCCTAATAAAAAAAATCTTGAGTCCCCTATTGTGAGGTGGGACGTACACCAGAATCCCGGTGTGCACATAGCAAAATCCATAAATTAATAATTGAAATGTATGCCTTATAAGTAGGATGGGGAGGGTTTGGGGTGGGGTGGGGCAGGCAACCCTACCCCATTTATCGCCCCATTTATTTTTTCTTTTTGTTTTTTATTTATTTTATTTTTTGCTTTTATTTTTTTATGTCTTTAGTTAGTAAATATTATTACTTTTTTTTTTTTATCAATTTGTTAAAAACAACTTACATTCTCTTTAAAAATGATGATAAATATGTTATTTTTGCTTGATAAAAAATTTAAATTTAAAATTAACTTTAAATGGGGTGGGTAATGGGGCAGGGACTATGTTTCCCATACTCACATCGAGGCAATGACCCTCGTTCCATCCATAACCCATTTTCCCGGTTAGGCAGGTAATTCCCTCTCAATTCGGGTTGGGGCCCCCAAAAATATAGGGTTGAACAGATTTTTTTTGTCATCCCTACTTATGACTATAATGTCCTTG